AGAAGCGGTTGAACCTTTTGCATATTTTTAACACACAATCTGTTGCCCTGCAGAAATGTTGTAGCTAGAAACCAACCGCTGAGAATGTTTTCCAGTTATACTATTGAAATAACAGCTTTCCAGTGACGACTTACTGCCGCATCGTGTGAACAAACGGAATATCTTCACTGTTCCCTTATTTCTTCTGTCAAAATGTTCTTGTCAACATGCTGTGAAGACAAATCAAAGCTCGGGATCCACCAGCTTATAAGGTCATGTTCTTAAAACAGCCGCACTAGCCTCATTCACGGAGACACGCAGGTCCCGGCTGACGGAGGAATTTTCTTCCAGACCATGAATCAGCTGTTGGAGAAGATCAAGCAGGGGGAACACGTGTTTGACGTGAACGCTGAGCCCGAACTTGAAGAAGATGACTGCCCCGACTTTGACGCCGACTACGAGGACGGCGTGGGTGGCTGTGAGGAGAGACCGAAGGAGTTCAAGGACGGCTGTGAGGCCTCCGGCTCCGGCCGAAGAGGGAGGTGAGATCGTGGATCCCTGCAGTTATGGGGATTATTTCCACGGACTTTTTGGTTAATTACATTTTTTCTGTTTTGGTGTGATGGCGGTGCAGGGATGTGATTCCCATCGGAGAGGGGGACATCACCACTATGTGTCTGCAGCTGTCCTCTCAGCCGAGGGAGTATTCGTACTTCAGCCCCAGGACCATGGCCACGTGGGCCGGACCCGGCTACTGGCAGTTCAAGCCTAAACACAAGTGTGAGTGGAAATGATGGTTTAACACATAATTTGGGCGTCAAAGTAAGTGACCTTTGATCATTGTAGTCTAGTGCTAAAACAATGTTTTTTCTTGTTGTGCCGTCTTTAGTCTGCCCATTGTATTTAATGGTGGTTGTACTGGGATGATTCGTTGCAGTAGTGTAATAAATTCGTACATATTGGGGCCATTTTTGTGTTTTGACCGTAAAATTAGTCTTTCAACGTCCAAGATGATTTCCTAATGCTTGTTCTTCCCCGCTGCTGGATGTCTGCAATAATAATTATCCCGCTCACCTGTCTTCCTGTCATGTGTTAAATCTCCCACAGTGGACCATTTGCCAGACAAGGAGACCCGTAAAAGGAAGCCCAAGAAGACCTTTGAAATAGACTTGAACGAGGATGTCAACTTTGACACCTACTTCCGTACCACAAGAGTAGGTGGTAGTTTAATCCCATCCTTAACAAACCGATTTGTCTGCTGTTCTGAACGCAGGCTCTTTATGTGCGATGGCACAGAACTCCACAATAGATATAATACAATACAGATTAAGCTCTAGTAATTAGTTCAGCTAACAAATTACATTCCTGCCTGTTGAGTTTTAGCTTGAAAATGTGTGAGAAGCCAAAAGCACTCTTAAATATATTTACGCAAGCTGAAGGCGCTGTTGTCCGCCCTGCCTCCACAGGCTGCCACCACCAACAGCAAGTCGGCCCTCAGTGCCAGCATTAAGAAAACAAAGCTGCCAGCAGACTTCCAGTTCCCCCCGGAGACGCTCTCCCAGCTCGCCTTCAAACCCTCCAGCTCGGTGAGTCCTCGGCCCTCCGCCGACCTGCAGGCGGGAGAAGTTGAAGCTCGTGACGAACCAAACCGACACTCTCTCCAGCACTGATATGACGTAGATTTCGGCTGAATTGTGGCATCGTTATCACTGTACACGCACGACCTGTGGTCATCACGTTCGCCCTATCCGTAAATAAACAAAGGTCATTTGCTTGTGTTGTGAGAGGAAGAAATCAGTTGTTTTTGTTTACTCTAGTTGGGTCAAGAAGGCCAGAAGAGGCTGTCCGGGGAGCTCGGAGAAGGAATTGGAGACTACGACTACAACAACGCCAACGACACCGCCAACTTCTGTCCAGGTCTTCAGGTCGGAACTCCAGTTTTTATATGGCTTTTTATTTCATTTCATTTGAATAGCCAGTGGTTTACTTAAGAAGTAGTGGTGGGGTTATTTGGATATAAAAATATTGTGGCTAAATATCGGTAGATAAGTATAGCATAATTGTGAATATGGTTGCAACAAAGCTGTAACGGTACGATAGAATCAATGGGAGGACTTCCAACTCCCTAAAGAACAAAAGATGCAGAATAGTCATTAACAAGAAAAGTGACGAGCCGCATCTCCCACACCTCGGCGTGACTTTGCCCATCTTCCCGTGCAGGGAGGCGACAGTGATGATGAGGGCGAAGGGTTTGCCGGTTCAGACGATACGCAGCCATCGGGTGACAGTATACCGCTGCCCTCGCAAGATCAAGAGGGCCTCGCGACCTACGGGGAGGACGATCTGGTACCCGAGCCCCACCGGGTGAGTAGCGCACGGCTTTAGTGCCGGTCGTACCTCGGGTTCCTCTTGGCTCTTGAGAGGTAGCGCCCTTCTGCTCAAAAGCTTGTGTACTACTCGTATTTACTAAGCAGGAATTTGATTGATTTACAACTTTGGTTTCTGCTCGTAGGTCAACCAGATTGAGATTAATTATGCTAAAACAGCAAAGAAAATGGACATGAAGAGACTCAAAAACAACATGTGGACTCTTCTGACCGAGAGCCCGGAAAATCCTGCAGAGGTAAATTGCACTGAGAAACGGGGCCATTTGTCGACACATTCAGCCTGTCACGGTTCGCTGCGCGGCGGTCTGTCAGTGCGGAGAAGTTAATTGGTAACTCTAAACCGTAGGCGTGCGACTGGGACAGTGAATGAGAGTCTGTTGTCTCTCTGTCGGCCCCGCGACTCACTGGCAACCAGCAGATGACTGTTTGCAGCAACCTGATTCAATTAATTATGCCTTCATGTTCCCCGCAGGAGGACGACGCTGTGGAGAAACCAGAAGTGTGCGGGGAGAAAGTCTTCAGTAAGACCACACAGACGCTGCTACAAAGGTACCACCCGCCACGGCACTAATGACAAACGATAATGACCGACTGAATAGCTCACCTAAACACAATGAGCTTGAACAGGGTTTCTACTTTGATGTGTTTTAGAACTTTAGACTGTCACTGTCCACGGTCCACTCCTGCAACACAGAACAGGTTACAGATCCCAATGTGCTTAAACCCTGATGCCAAATAGAAACATTTAGTACGATTCCATGGAGGACTTGATCGAGCCGAGCCTGTAACCCACTTGATGCATAATTTAAGATAAATATTTCTTTAAAGAGACGTATATATCTTTCTTTATCCTTTTCTTTTTCTCTCTCTCTCTCTCTCTCTCTCTCTCTCTCTCTCTCTCTCTCTCTCTCTCTCTCCTTGTGGGGATCCAGATTGCCAAACACGATGGCTCAGAACCTGTCGGTGCCTCTGGCTTTTGTTGCTCTGCTTCATCTTGCCAATGAAAAGGTGAGTTGTTAAGTTGTTCTCGGTTTGGTGTTTATTCTTTCCGGTCTTTGTGCTAGCCAATCTTTATATCTTACACACATTAGAGTTAATGGACATCTGTTTTAAAAATGTGCAGTATGCATGTCTGTTTGTTGTAGTGTACAATGTGGAATATTTTTTGTCTCATACAGAATTTGGAGTTGGTGAAGGTTGACGACATGTCCGATATCATCATCAGACAAGGCCGCTGAGGAGACATGACTGAATGAGAATCGCTGCCTTTCTCTACTTATTGGTCTCGTTCAGTCTTTACTGTTATACTTCTGTTCCGCTTGTTTAGATTTATTGATGTTTTTATTCATTTTATATAGCACATATGCTGTGATATAAGCAGTTGTGTCAAAGTCAAGTCTGCCTGTATTCCCTCATAATTAATTAATTGGTCAACCACTTCACAAAAAATGTATATTGTCGAAATAAATAAAAATCCTTTTTTTCTAAAACATACTGTAATGGTTGAATCCCAGTCATTTGCTGTGTTTTCAATATACCGGCCATGTTAATTGCTCACCAAAATGCCTCTTAATATTTGTAGCTGCCTATGACTCAGAGCAGCCTATAGAAGTTGTCTGATTTGTGACCACAGGTGACTAATAGTACTGAAGCCTCACCAACGCCTTCCTTAATAGAGGCACAACCGGTTTGTTTGGGAGCTGGTGCCACTGGCTGGGTGTGACGTCAGCAGGAGAGGGAGGAGTCACTCAGTCAGCTGCTCCCTTGTATCTATAATCCAGTGCGACACGCTGCGGATGGGGAGATGCTGATTGGTTGTGTCAAGAAAGGCCATTTGTGCATTATGAGCAAGTCTCTGAAATTATACATTAATGCCTTAAATAACAAGTTAAACTGAAGCCAGTCTCTATGGAGCAATGACAGGTTTAAGAATGATGTCATCAGACAGCACCAGACTCAACCCAGTGTTACTAATTGCATTCAAGAGGGATTTGGTTTAAAATTGGAGGAGTGGTTTCACATTTTCACTAGTTGTAATATTTACAAATATAGGTTCATAGCACGCTTTAACAGCTTTGCTTTGTCACTTTGTTTGATCATGGACACAAACAGTTCTCGCACAAATCCATTGATTATGGTATTATCGGTGTCTCTTAAACATTCAGTAAGTGAGCGTACAGGGCATGAAGTGTGGCGATCAACATCAAGTTGATGTTTTTTGCACACACGTGTTGCATAATAACACGTCTTTCAAAATAAAAGTAGACGTTTGGCAGAGTGCTTTTGTGAAACGCGGATGGAAACAAAATGCATATGGTCAATTCTATAAACTAAAATAATAAATTAATATGTGAGGACCTATTTGCATGCTAAAGCAATGGCACTACTTTTTGAAAGTGTGTTTGTTGCTGTTTTCATTAAATGTTTATATCAAAGTACTTTATCAAAAAAGGCTTATGTTCAAGGTGAAACGTTTAAATAAACTTTTCACCTTGAACATAAGTCTTTTTTTAACGACCACGTTCTTAACACTACTACGTTCTTTAAAAAAAGTTACGCTTTATTTTAAGAACCGCGGAAGGAAACGACTGTTTGCTTCACGCGCCGCTTGACACGCGAAGCGAAGGAATTCAGTCTGAAGGAAGAAAAAAGAAATAGAAAACCAGGAAGTTAAACGGACGAGGAAACGCACCCGCGGTGCCGCAGCGCCTCAAGTCCGTTAAAAAGCTTATTTATTTATTTAAATAACAGTCTCAACTCAAAGGGAAGAATATCCATCAGAAGTGGTCGACGGGCTTTGTTTCCAACACGATGGATTTCGATCCGGTAAGAGAACACGGTGGAGGCGACTGTTTCTTTGTGTTGTTGTTTAGAAAACCTCTCCGTCGTCGCCGCGTTTAACGTCGGGACACGACGTGCAACAGGTGCGTGTCTCCGGTTAACGCCGATTCGCTTTAAAGTCTGAACGTCACTTTAGCCTTTTTATTAAAAAAATAATAATAACTTTCCGTGGAGAAATGAAGCCCCGCAACAGGCTGACAAAATGGCCAAATGACACACGAACCGGTCGCCGAGTTGTTCCTGGAGTGAAGCCGATGACGGTTTGACGTTACGTTACATTATTATTAGTCAAAGTCGGTCACTGCTTTTAAATATCTTAAAACATAATATAGTTGTTTTTATGCCTGTCTTCTTGAAACGTCCCTTTTCCGCATGTATTGCAAAACTCTGCTTCGGTTGATTCTATTTGAGCCAAACTCTATTTAGAAATGTGTCAATTTAAGTTTAATCGCTTAGTTACTTTGCCGACTGAAGCTCGTTCCTTAACGGCACAAAGTGCACACTTTGTTGAGTTCTTTTCCATTAACTTCAGCTAACAGCGTCACATTGGCCTAATAGTTCGTATTAACAAAACATCTACGCAGTTTGACTAATCCTTGTGTTGTTGAGAAAAATCTTGCTTCCCTCATATTCTATTAATTCATATTATATTAATTTCAAAATGATTTGCACATAATATTGTACCATCCCTTTTTTTTGACAAGTTAGCTTAAAATAGCTGTTGGAGCACGTTTTCAATCCCCATCACCTGTGCAGACCCCAGTGACCCCATAAGACCCCCGGGACCATCAAATAGTTCACTTTACGTGACTTTAGAGTTATTAAAATCTACTTCCTTCACTGTGTAATTGTTCCTTCCGTGTTCAGCGCCTGCTGTGTCACTGGCAGCCATGTGGCACGTTTTCATAACTTTAGTCACACAGGCTTGTCCGGTCGGGGGCCCGACGGGCACCGGCTGAAAGCCTTTCAACGCCATCCGTGTGGTTTTTCCCTCTTCCACGCCGATCGGACCGCTGACGTCTTGAGGGGTTTGAAGCGCTGCCTCTCTGTGAAAGCCGGCCGCGTGCCGCTGACACCAGCGTGTCCCTGCAGCGTTTCCTGAGGCCGGCGAAATCTCGCCGCCCTTCGCAGCTGACAGTTGTTCGACATTTGACTAGATTAGGAAGTGAGCGGTGAGGATTTCATCCCACGACAAATGAAATCCATCCTTTCTGCGTTTGCATCCGCGGTCCAACCGCAGTCCTCGTTCCTTCTGTGTGAGAAAAGTCTTTTTTTCGAGAGGTTCCCTTATCGTCTGGCTTTCTATGCACAACAAAGGAACTTAAAGTATTTGAATAGGACAATATTGCCGCCGTTACTGCTTAACCGCCTCTCTTTCTCTAAATGTTGATACTCGATACCTGTCGGCCATTCGCTGGGCCTCACTAAACTACTAGCACAGGTAGTGGAGAAGGTGGGGAGACAGAGAGGGCTCTGTGGCAGGAAAGGGTTTAAAAAAAACGACATTATAAAATGGGGACGTGAAGAAAAATAAATATTTAAAAAGAGTGCTGGGTCGGGAGAAGAAAAGGGTAGAGAGGAGGTTGACTGTAGATGACGCAGGAAAACCTGCTCCGTGTCCTAGAGACGGTTTTGTTTACAGTCTGATGCGGACTCCTGGGACATGGAACTCACTGTGCATAACACACACACAATGTGTGTAACATTTCTGCTGTGAAATCACACCTACGCCTGTGTGACCTGGCGCCTCATCCTCCTGGTGAGCTCTTGTGATATCGGTTGACGAAAGGATGAGATAAATGATGCCGTTTGGTAAAAATGTGCCTGGAGAACAGACTCGAATGCTCAGTCACTGATTGTGTGACTTGCAGGCAGCCATTACAAAAAGAGTGGAATTGATCTAATGACTGATGCCACAGACATCATGTGGGCAGACAAACCCATCCAAAGATATAAAGTGGAAGTGGTAATTAACCCCAAATCTGATCAAGTTATTGAATTCCTTCAAACAAACAACTTTTTTTCGTCCCACTGATAAACACCGCGAGACAAAGTTTGAATATGGATCGCAGCTCACGCATGTTGTACTTTGTTCCTCATCTACTTTTCACTAATGGCCTTTTCCTTCCCTTCCCTTCCTAGGAGCGGGGAGGAGAGGCGGCTGAGCCACAGGACAAGGTGCAGCACTTGAAGGAACAGGTGGATGGAGTCAAGAACATCATGACGCAGAATGTGGACCGGATCCTGGCCCGAGGGGAGAGACTGGATGACCTGATGGGCAAGTCGGAGGACCTGCAAGCTGGGGTGAGTCTCAAACCTAGTTTACGCTTCTGCGTTTTCAGAGAGACGCAAGGACACGCGGACGCAAGAGCCCCTTGCGCGTCCCTTTGCGTGCCTTTTCACACCTCCTTGCCGGTCGAGGGGAACAAAGTTGTGGAGGAAAATACGGGACAAATGTGTCCACGATGAAAAGCAGCAGTGGCGATGCACGGGGCAATAAAGTCTATGATAAATAGATAAATAAACAGACCAACGACTTCCACACACAAAGACGTGACTCTCTAGGTCGTCTTCGACAAAAACACGTAACTCCACCTATTGTTGTTCCGCCGGTGAATATCTCTGCAACGCACGCAGGCCTTTTAGAACCATGAATTGAAACGAGTGCGTCAGCGTAAAGACGCAGAGGCATGCGCCAGCCTTTATCCTTCCCCTTCCGACCTGTATGAAGAGGGCCGACCATCTCCGCCCTGCTGTGAGCTTGTAAACAAAGGTGTCGGTAAGCATTGAGTTCGGTGATAATGATCTGTCCAACCGGAATAACAAGTCACTTGGTCGGATTCATTTGTGTTCTGGAATGTCCCCAATCTGTCCGAGTGGGAACCCCCTTCTTGCTCTGACCTACTTTTTTAAGTTGCGCCCTTTCTTGATAAAGTTCATCAACCAAACAACTTTTAGTGTGAAGTTCGGACGCCTCGCTTCCTCTTCCTGGTAGCGCTCGTTTCGGTCATAGCAGTGAAAGCGCAGGTGGAACTGATAACATTGAGAATGGCTCCATTCCATCATTGTGTCCCTGGAAGCCACACTAATCGTCCATTATGCAGATTACACACACTGATAAACCCTCACTTATGACCCGCTAGAAGTGTGCGGCTGGGGCCGTATCTATAGCCACTGTCTGCCTGTCTCGCCCTGTTTTTGGTCGTCAGCAAAGAATCTCTGGCGAGTGCTGTGTGTGTGTTAACAAGAGCCACAACAATGCTACACAGAGTGCAAAAAAACAACAGGAAGTGACCACGGCCTGTAAAACTGCACACCTTGTAAGTTGTGTGAATTCCAGGAAATGTTGTTTCTGTGAATTATCACAGAAACCGTCCATGGCACCTGGGCAGAACAAACGTTAATCTGCTTTCTCCCAGCGGCCGTATTTACATTCGCATACACAGCTGTATGTTGCGCCAGAAAGCAACTCGAGTAAACCAGCCTGCACAATACCAATGGAGGGCCATTGAGGTGTCTGCGTCCTGTGTGAAGGAGAGTCAGTACTTCTTACCACATACCTGATGCTATTTTTAAATCTGCTGGGAAATGCATCAATGCAAATTGGTGGAGGTTTAAGACTGGTTCTCTAAATACCAGATAATCCGGTGGCGTAATCGCCCGTGGTCCCTGACTGGATTGCCCCTCCGGTTGTCTGGGGCGCCGGTGAATCACCAAACCCCTGTAGCCTAAACCCGGGCTTAAGTGTGGTGCACACTGACGCCTGGTTCCACCAGGTGGAGACACAGTCCAACAGATGTAGGTAGCATCAGGAATGGGGACGTTGTCTCCCAATTCATTTAGGTGGCAAGGAACAGGTTTAATTCCACTCGTGCCCCTTTTCCTTTCCTCAGTTCGGCTGTCGAAATAAAGGTGACGCTCAGAAAAATAATCTTCTTTAATGTTTAAATAGCTCCCTCTCCACCTAAAGAGAAGCAAAAGTGGTAACAAGCATACCGAACGTCCTGCTGGCTACATCTGTATATATTTAGTGTTCAGACTCAAGTGACCTTTTCATGCAACTTTCACAATAAAACCTCCAAATAATGCAACCATTTCTTTTTAAATTGACCGTCTTTTTCCGATCAATGTAAATGCCTTTAGAGCTTTGTTTGATCTGTACTCCCCAATAAGAGGACATACAGACAAAATTAACTGTGAAGAACCAAAAAGAGTATTTCTGTAACTCGTTTATGTGCCCATCTGTAAGCTTGTATCTCTTATTCACGAAGGACTGCATTGCCTTTGTACAAGCCTGGGAAAGATATATAGCACTACAATCATAAAGTATGGAAACAAAGTCGGAATATCCTTTTTAAACAATCCTGAATTGGCTTTAAAATATATACCCCAAAAAATCCTATCAAAGCAAATTGGTCTTTTGTATAATGTGTAAACAGTTTTTTCATCTGTGAACCATTAGTCAAAGTCACACGTAAAGCATCACGCTGACGTCACTATGACGATCAGGTACTACTCCAAATTAAATCAACTGCACCTAGCAACCACTAATGTAGCTTCAGTGTGAACAGGAAAAGAATGTTGGGACAGATGCGTCACTCGCTCCTGATTGGTGGGAACAAAATAATAAAAATAACCTCCTCCCCGCCAACAAGATCCCACACGTGATGTCTCCAACAGAGGTTTGGATCGCTTTGCTGTGTGTTGCTTCAATCAGCTGTGTTGTCTCTGCCCCCCCTTTCCCTCAGGCTCAGCACTTCAAGCAGACGTCTCAGAAGGTGGCTCGCACCTACTGGTGGAAGAACGTGAAGATGGTGGTGGTCATCGTGGTGATCGTCCTGGTCATCGTCCTCATCATCATCCTGCTGGCCACCGGAGTGATTCCTATCAGCACCCCCGTGCCGCCTATAGTCAACCCCACCACCAAGCCATGAACCCATAAACACACACCGGTACAAATAACCTAAACACAATCCTAAACAAACAGTTTGGTAATGCACAGTATGTAAAGTAAAGTAATATAATTAATAATAAGTAGTTTCCTCAGGTTACCCTCGTGCCTTTATTGGACCTCAAGGACCAAGGAACTTTAATGGCACATTGTAGCTTTTGAAACCCTCTTAGAATAGAATCCCATTGTAGCAATATTTGAATTAGTGGGAAATCAAACACGGGTGTCTGGAGGTGTGGCGTCTTTGTGTGAAAGCGGCACAAACACAGTTCCTGTTCTCAAAGGACGCTGCTGTCCAGCCGCTCTCTTTGTTTCACTGCTCCACCACCAACGCTGATTTCATCCTGTCAAGGAGAAAGTCACTTTAATGTGTGCGTGGAAGCAAATGATGAACGTGGATTTCTCCAGTCTCTTACTAGGTATTCTTTTGGTCTCGAATGTTATCACTTAAGCACACCTTTTTTCACGAGGAGCCGCTACCATTGTTCGAAAGATGAATAATGCAGGAAATCGGGAAACGTCTTCTCGCTGACAATTTTAGGTCACACTATATTTGAGAACAGCGCTGAATTGTCTGTTACCATTTGTGGGCGTCGTCTCTTTTCAAAAGAACTTCCAATATATTTGTAATCAGACATCTCGAAAAAATAATTCTCCATAGGCATTCTTTTAAATTATTTTCAGACGTGTTTTTGAATGTGTACTGCTTCTTTGGTTCTTTTGGAAATATTGTAATTTGCTCCTTATTTGTGTGGAGGGCTGTGTTTTAGGGGACAGTACACAGTCAACGCTTATCAAACCGTAGTGAACTGTGTTGAGTCTGAATGCTGTAAACCAGAGTGCATCTTCAATTGTTTGTCAGATCTTGATTCATGTTATAAAACATAACTGATGACGGGATGTGAACTTTGTAAACACCCAACATTTGCAGTTGTGCGTTTTCCACCCATCTGCACTCTGCAGCGACATCCGCCTTTTTAACAGATTGCATTTCCCCAACTGCACTTAAACCCCGATGCTTCGCAGTTTAAGTGCAGGACTTTGTGTACTCTAGAGTTCTGTTCCCACACTTCTAGTTTTTGGAGGATCAGGCACCTGCAGCCTACCAGCTGGGAGATCAACGTACCCCCCCCTTCGTGCTCCCCCCTGCTGGGTCCGCGTCATCCAGTAGACTCCCACAGTGCCGAGCTTCCCTCTACGCCCACTATCAAGTGTAAATAGTCAAAGTCTCACCGTTCTATATATATATATATATATATATATTCTCGTCTGCCTCTGACTGATGCGTTAACTGTTCTTTTAGAGGCTATTTATTTAATGCTTTGTTTCTTTTTTTTAATCAAAAGTGAACCAATGAAGGCTGTATGCGATTTCTATAAAAATGGTTACTACAGAATGATTGATCATAAAGTGGTAGAGCGCAACGGCTCCTATGTTAATCCTTTTCTGTCTGTAGGTCTAAAGATGAGGCTGTTAGTTGTGTTTTTAGCATGACTCTGGGGGGCAGAAGCTGGATTCTCTTTACCTGTTGCTCCACCATCACGTTGCTCATCACACAGGCTGCAGCCGGAGTCTTCAACTGGCAATATACACATTCCCTAAATAGATGAACAACCGGCCTCCTGCTCAGCTTGTGCCATGTGCATGAATGTTTTGATCAATGGTTTTAATGGTTTAATTAGAAATAAATAGTATGTTCGCTCTACGTTGTTGTCCTCTCATTTGCGGTTTGTTAAAGAGCCGCAAGGTGGCGTTACTGTGTTGTCATCAACAAAGAATAATGAGAGAACCAGATTCTGGAAATGGTCCTTTTTTGGTCTTTGGTAATTATTCATTTCGGATTTTTTTTCTATGTTGGAGAAAACCCCACGACAGGGAACCTCTGGTATGTTTTTCCTTCTAGGTTTGAAACAAAACAAAAAACTCCAAGAACTGTCACAGAAAAATGTATAAAAGTCACCTTGACATTTCCTTCTGGATGGAAGTGATCACACCAACCAAAGGCCATCCACAGAAACCTCTTTGTTAAAAGCCTTTGTCAGGATATCTGGAATGTTCTTGTGTTCATTAATATATACATTAAAGATCAGTTGAAACGTTACGATTTTGTTACAGACGCGTTGTATGTTGCATGTTGTATGTTTTTCCCATTTTCTAGACTTTGTGATTTTTTTTTCTGCTTACAATCTAAACATTTTACCACATTTCTTTGGATCCTCTGTGATTTTACCATGCAGGATATTTTGTTTTAGAATTGTTTGATTGTTCTAGCACAAATTTCCCATTTATTGGTTAAACATGTTTATAATTGCTAAGTTTGAGAGACTCTCTGATTAGTGTCTGCAACACATCACACTGCAACACACTGCACACCCGCTCTCCTGTGGAAGTCTGTGGACCCGGCGGGTGAGACAAAAGGGGGTCGTTTCGAAAGAGGTCTGACCCACAGTGACGTAGAGACACAACAGTTCAGTGGGTGAATACGTAAATACACAGTGAACATAACAGATGGGAATATTAGTTAATATTAGCAGTACAGAATGGAAAACTTCGACCATCATCCTGTAATGGTTTTAACAACAAATCATACATGCATTTAATTACACATGAGATATTGATGATCTATTATTATCGTTAGGAATACATGAATGTTCTAGGTCACTAACAAACCATGAGCTCCGTGTTCACAGGCTTCAATAGTAAAGCTGAAAACCCTCGAAAGTAGCTGGAGCCCCTGAAGACTGATATAAAGATCCAAATGCAAGTCCAATTGTGATGGAAAGTTACGAAGGCCACGGCAAACTGTAATGGGGGAGGGCCAACACATACTTGATCTTGATGGGAAAAGGGAAGTTGAAAACTGCTGAAAGACACACGTAAGATAATCAGGTCCTGACCGCACAGACACGCTGGAAGGCAAAAATGAGGAAACAGCGAACGGATTGGTAAGATGCTGAGGTCAAAGGATGCTGACGGCTGACCAACAGGAGGAAGGTCTCCCTGATACAACAACAAACGGGATGAGCAGAACGATTTTTCAGTTCTGTTGAGAGTGACGTGGTCACAGTACAGCAAGAAGATCTAGGGTTGCATAGAAAGAAACCAAAAGGTTGTTTTTTCCTCCTCTCTTAGAGTCACGGAATGGAATTTGAAAACCACATACACTGAATGCAAATACGGTTCACGCTTTTTATCATTTTTCTCAATATTATAAAGACTGTTATTGTCTTAATTTCTGCTTTACAAATTAAAGGAAGCGCTCGTCAGTCATCGTCCAACTTCGAGATAATGCAGCAGGATGACTGCTTTCTGCCCATCAGCGGTCTTATCCTTTTTACTTGTCTACCATATAAGAAGGGATGGGTAGATCTGCCCTCTCTCTCTGTCTGTCTGTCTCTCTCTCTGTCTGTCTGTATCTCTCCCTGTCTCTGTCTCTGTCTCCCTTAATCGCAAATTCACTAGTCATGAAGTCGATTTTTTTTTTTTTGAGGTGGTGATATTAATTAATTAAAGATTGGGGGGGGTAACTCTAGATTAAGGGTCTTGATGTTGATGAAGTTGGGATTGAATGGATCATTTAAATTGTAGATATTCCAAAAAGCGATTATACTCAATGTCAAACATCTGAACCAAGTGGGAATAAAATGAGCGTATTGTTATTGAAGATGTTATTGAATAAGTGATGCTTTTGGACCAGGTGCGATCATTTGTTGCCCGAGAAAGTCAGGATTGTGATAAAGTGACATTTGAAGGGGCAAAAAATGTGGGGCCTCAAGTGTTTTGGGTAAACACAAAACGAAAGGAAAAGTGCAAAAAAAAACAGTTGCGCTCGCTCGAGGCCAGAAGGTTAAACAAGATTTGCAGCTACCGGAACTGATCCGGTGTGATAACTTCTTCTGAAGTGGACTTGGTCAAACTGTGAACGCATCGGAACCGGTGACAGCCTCGAGCCCAAAACAATAGAGACGCAAAAGAAATGGTAAGACATTATAAAAAAAAAATGCCTTTGCGTTATAATAAGGACACGCAGAGAACAGGGGAAATGCATTATTATAGGATAAGGATGAACTAGTGTGACCTTATTTTAATATCTGCGGGTACAGGAACGCATTTATTTAACGTTGTTAAATAAATGCATAAGAAGCACACGGCGTGGATGTCTTAGCAGAGGCGAGCTTTCGCTTCCTGTAATGAACATCAGGTTGATGTTATGTCGCGATCTCTGATGGAGCATTTCGATGATTGTTGTGTATTTGATTTTATATTTAGTATAATATGTTTTACATGTTTTGTTTTTACAGCTACTATATTTTTTTTCTTCTTTTTTGTCGCAAATCGATCAGGATGATTAAATCCTGAATTAAGAATTAAATGAGTTACATTAAACTTTATACATTGTGTCATTACATCTGAACCAGAGGTGGTGTGTATATTGTTGTGGTGAGTATACCGGGAGGGGAACCGGGGCACCGGCCGCCTCAGCGTCTCGCACGTTCTTGAGATGAAACGCGTTAAATGCGTCCGTTAGTCCCGCGGTGGACTGCGCGTGCGTGGCGTCACGTCATCTGTTTTTCGACTGGTACTGCTTTAGACCGGGTGAATCTATAAATGTTATAACGTTCTGTCACAACGATGCCGTATACGGCGTATATACCCGCGTATAACGTAGAAAACACCACTGATCTGAACTCAACAAAAGGAAGAAGGGAGCGAGGGAAGGAAGGAAGGAAGCAAGGAGGGGAGCCGCAGCGGGCAACAGTTCCCTGCGTTAAGACGTTGACAGGAATTGCATGAATCACTTTCCATCAGTCACTGAAATAAAGCTCACTGAATTTGTACGTACAGTGAGTTTAGACAGGAAATGACGTTAAACCAAATAAAGGTGCAGACAGTGTGGATTTTTTGGTTTTGTTCTGTTGGTGTCCTGTTCCTGCCAACATCCTTGACGGGAACAGGCTTCCTTTGGTGCTGCAGCCTATTTCCTCTGAGCAGGCCTAAAGGAGGGTGGTATTATCTGATCATCTTGGCGTAGCCCTGGGTGGAAACAGCCCGCTGATGGATTAGGTTAGGTGTCACTGCTCTCGGGGCAGATGGGGGTCCTGAGGGGAAAAGGATGAGCGACCCACTATCTTGTCTGTGAACTCTGAGAGGCCGGTGTGGGTTGTGTGATTGTGCGATTGGGCCGGGCTACGGCTGAGTCGTCCACGCTGCGGGACTGCTGGCGTGTCATCCGGAAGCGACGTGATCGGGAGTTATTACTTTCTTTCTTCACCAGTAACATACAAACGTATTTTTACACATCAGAACACTGACAGGGCTTCCCCTTCATCCCCACGGAAAAATAATTGTCCAGAAGTAAGCAGTTATTACACATTTTATCATGGGTTTGCCATTTTCGGCGCGGATGCCAAATAGCAACAACGTTTGATCTTGTCAAGAAACAAACAGCTGACACTGTGTGCTTGCATACATGTATTACCCGTATAAACCGCTCTTTCACCACAGGTTCAAACAAGGCAAGCGCATTCAATTCAATTCAATTCATTTTATTTTGTATAGCCCATAATCGCAAATTACAAATTTGCCTCACAGGGCTTTACAGTCTGTACACATACGACATCCTCTGTCCCGAAACCCACCATCGGCACAGGAAAAACTCCCCAAAAAATGAAAAAAAAGGGAAGAAACCTTATGGAGAACGTCAGAGGAGGGATCCCACTCCCGGGATGGACAGACTACAATGGATGCCATGTGTACAGAATGAACAATGTATAATACATTCAATTCCTATGACAGAAATGATTCAAGTAATTGTGAGTAGTAAGCAAGGCGCACAGCAGGACCACTGCAGGGGCCACCACCATCAGACAGAACCACCATCAGACAGAACCACCATCAGATAGAACCACCATCAGATAGAACCACCGTCCACAGAAGCCTGTGGGGAGGGAGAGCACAGAGACTTTAGGAGAGGGTAATGTTGGTTTACGAGTACAGTAATATGATTAATATCTAAAATAATAAAGATGATGATGATGGCAGCAGCAAGCGTCAGCAGGGCCACGGTAGGTGGAGACCTGATAGGGGAGAAAGCACAAAAAAAAACTCCCGGAAAGAAGCTGAATTAGTCATGTGCATTAATAAAACGTGAATTATGGTAGAACGGGAGCGTGAGAGAGGAACTCGGTGTGTCCTAAGAATTCCCCCGGCATTCTAAGCCTACAGCAGCTTAACTAAGGGCTGGTCCGGGCTAACCTGAGCCAGCCCTAACTATAGGCAGAATCAAAGAGGAATGTTTTAAGTTTTACTTTAAAAGAGCTGACCGAATCTGCCCCCCGGACTGAAAGTGGAACCTGGTTCCACAAAACAGGAGCTTGATAACTGAAGGCTCTGGCCCCTAAAAACTATAGGAACAACGAGTAACCCAGCATCTCTGGAGCGCAGCTGCCTTGTACGGCAATAAGGTGTTACAAGCTCTTGAAGATACAACGCATGAATCCCTGAAAAAACTATCACCAATTGACTGAATGCACTTTATGTCTTCCTCCGTCTTTAATCATGTTGCGTGTCTCGATTGGACAGATGAATGGGAAGAGCCGCCTGCAGCAGGTCCAGGGGGACGTGGAGGAGGTCAGGGACATCATGTTGGACAACTTCAACAAGGCTGATGAGAGAAATTACAAACTGGTTGAACTGGAGGACAGGGCTGATGAGCTGCTGGAAATGGTAAGCGGGAGGGGGATCACAGAAAACATTTTTGGGAAGTCTGTGGGTCGTATGGAGAAGGTGAAAGGCCGCATTCACCAAAAGGCCCACGACCCTCCAGGGATTTACAACTAGGAAAAGTCATATCGACGTCTATAAATACTCAGGTGAAGCTGGAAAGGAAAACAAATGTATAATTTACATCCTGATTGTGTTTTATGGGTCTGTTTTTAGAAAGGCATTTCCTATTGTTTACTAAGATGAATGAAGCGAGCTGGTCTCTCTGGGTACGGCAGAGTGAGTCCAGGACATGCCACGAGGCGCATGTCCGTCCGGGGATCCACATGCGGGTCACATTGCTCCCACGTTGCCCTGAGTGTTACATAAGAGCACTGAAAAAAGGAAACAGCCAGACAGCTGAAGTTCAAGAACCATTCGGATTGTTCTTAAAATGTAGTGCTTCTCCAGTCAATATTTCTATTTTAACAAGTGGACAAATCATCATCATCGTCTGCGTTTCAGCTACTTTGAGGTCATTGTCTGGGTATCGCGCCCTGCATCCGGGCTCCCTTTCACTGCCGAGATGCTGCTGTTTGTAGCAAGAAGTCCCCGATAAACTCTGCGTATTCTAGCGGCTTATCAACAAAAAACAGACAGGTGCCAAAAGTCGGAGGTCTTCAGACAACTGCTTGCGCATTTTATAATAAAGAGTATCCAAATGCCTCATTGAACTCACGATTTAGTAGCAATGTGAGAGGCAACTCTTTGTGGCTGTCATCCTTTTTTGTGTCAAAATTAGGGTTGCATCTAAGTTGTAAACATCCCATGAAACCTCTTTACAAAAATAAAAATGATCTCCTAAATTCCCAAGCTTATCTTTCCATAGAAAGTTTCTGGAAATGTACCGGAAATGTTCGGCCCCTTTGCAGCCGTAGTCAAAATATAGACGGCCGTGTGATCACACAGTGTGTCCCTTTGTCGTGTGACTAAAATCGCAGTGTGCTCCTTTAGTTCTCTGATGAATGCATACGAGTGTGATGTCACACGGGCCAACAGGCTTGTTCTCTCCGGGCGGATTAAAGAAGTCAAGTGGTGAACATTGATTTCAAGCAGTTTGAGAAAAACATGTTTTTTCAGATTGGAAATGTTTTCATAGACTTAGGAAGTTGTATATTACATTACATTACATGTCATTTAGCTGACGCTTTTATCCAAAGCGACGTACAATAAGTGCATTCAACCATAGGGTATATAAGTTGACAGTGAATAAATCCATCCCATCTTGTAATATGTTACATGTGTGTGTGTTTGTATTCTCTTTCCAGACTAAAAGGTTTGAAAAGACCACTTCCAAGGTGAAGCAAAAGAAAAGATGGGGGAAGAAGAAGATGAAGTTTGTGTTTATCGGCATCGGCGCGACTGTGGCAGTCGTCATTCTCGGATTAATAATCTATTTCATTGTGCCTGGCACACAGTAGCTGCTCCGATGTTGAAAATTAAACATGTTTTTGTGGGTTTAGCATGAAGTGAAAAAAAAAAAGACGAGTGCAAACTATGAGACTTGAGCATCTCGCCTTAACTGCTAAATCTGTGTTATTTTTGTTTTCAAAGATATTTATTGGTTTCTTTTTTTGTCTTCAGTTAAAACGGTACCAATTCACTTCTCAAAGGTCATGTCTCTGTAAGGCCCACGATGGGAGAACACATTTGTCTTGGATCTTAAAAGTGAGATATAATACATATATATATATATGTATAATTGTTTTTATCAAAAATGAACCAATGAAGGCTGTATGCGATTTCTATTAAAATGGTTACTACAGAATGATTGATCATAAAGTGGTAGAGCGCAACGGCTCCTATGTTAATCCTTTTCTGTCTGTAGGTCTAAAGATGAGGCTGTTAGTTGTGTTTTTAGCTTGACTCTGGGGGCAGAAGCTGGATTCTCTTTACCTGTTGCTCCACCATCACGTTGCTCATCACACAGGCTGCAGCCGGAGTCTTCAACTCAAAATATACACATTCCCTAAATAGATGAACAACCGGCCTCCTGCTCAGCTTGTGCCATGTGCATGAATGTTTTGATCAATGGTTTTAATGGTCTAATAAGAAATAAATTGTATGTTCGCTCTACGTTGTTGTCCTCTCATTTGCGGTTTGTTAAAGAGCCACAAGGTGGCGTTACTGTGTTGTCATCAACAAAGAACAATGAGAGAACCAGATTCTGAAAACGGTCCTTTTTTGATCTTTGGTAATTATTCATTTCAGATTTTTTTTCTATGTTGGAGAAAACCCCACGACAGGGTACCTCTGGTATGTTTTTCCTTCTAGGTTTGAAACAAAACAAAAAACTCCAAGAACTGTCACGGAAAAACGTATAAAAGTCACCTTGACATTTCCTTCTGGATGTAAGTGATCACACCAACCAAAGGCCATCCACAGAAACCTCTTTGTTAAAAGCCTTTGTCAGGATATCTGGAATGTTCTTGTGTTCACGAATATATACATTAAAGATCAGTTGAAACGTTAAGATTTTGTTACAGACGCGTTGTATGTTGCATGTTGTATGTTTTTCCCATTTTCTAGACTTTGTGATTTTTTTTTCTGCTTACAATCTAAACATTTTACCACATTTCTTTGGATCCTCTGTGATTTTACCATGCAGGATATTTTGTTTTAGAATTGTTTGATTGTTCTAGCACAAATTTCCCATTTATTGTTTAAACATTTTTATAATTGCTAAGTTTGAGAGACTCTCTGATTAGTGTCTGCAACACATCACACTGCAACACACTGCACACCCGCTCTCCTGTGGAAGTCTGTGGACCCGGCGGGTGAGACAAAAGGGGGTCGTTTCGAAAGAGGTCTGACCCACAGTGACGTAGAGACACAACAGTTCAGTGGGTGAATACGTAAATACACAGTGAACATAACAGATGGGAATATTAGTTAATATTAGCAGTACAGAATGGAAAACTTCAAGACCATCATCCTGTAATGGTTTTAACAACAAATCATACATGAATTTAATTACACATGAGATATTGATGATCTATTATTATCGTTAGGAATACATGAATGTTCTAGGTCACTAACAAACCATGAGCTACGTGTTCACAGGCTTCAATAGTAAAGCTGAAAACCCTCGAAAGTAGCTGGAGCCCCTGAAGACTGATATAAAGATCCAAATGCAAGTCCAATTGTGATGGAAAGTTACGAAGGCCACGGCAAACTGTAATGGGGGAGGCCCCACAGGGCCAACAGATACTTGATCTTGATGGGAAAAGGGAAGTTGAAAACTGCTGAAAGACACACGTAAGATAATCACACAGGTCCTGACCGCACAGACACGCTGGAAGGCAAAAATGAGGAAGCAGCGAACGGATTGGTAAGATGCTGAGGTCAAAGGATGCTGACGGCTGACCAACAGGAGGAAGGTCTCCCTGATACAACAACAAACGGGATGAGCAGAACGATTTTTCAGTTCTGTTGAGAGTGACGTGGTCACAGTACAGCAAGAAGATCTAGGGTTGCATAGAAAGAAACCAAAAGGTTGTTTTTTCCTCCTCTCTTAGAGTCACGGAATGGAATTTGAAAACCACATACACTGAATGCAAATACGGTTCACGCTTTTTATCATTTTTCTCAATATTATAAAGACTGTTATTGTCTTAATTTCTGCTTTACAAATTAAAGGAAGCGCTCGTCAGTCATCGTCCAACTTCGAGATAATGCAGCAGGATGACTGCTTTCTGCCCATCAGCGGTCTTATCCTTTTTACTTGTCTACCATATACGAAGGGATGGGTAGATCTGCCCTCTCTCTCTGTCTGTCTGTCTCTCTCTCTGTCTGTCTGTCTGTATCTCTCCCTGTCTCTGTTTCTGTCTCCCTTAATCGCAAATTCACTAGTCATGAAGTCGATTTTTTTTTTTTGAGGTGGTGATATTAATTAATTAAAGATTGGGGGGGGTAACTCTAGATTAAGGGTCTTGATGTTGATGAAGTTGGGATTGAATGGATCATTTAAATTGTAGATATTCCAAAAAGCGATTATACTCAATGTCAAACATCTGAACCAAGTGGGAATAAAATGAGCGTATTGTTATTGAAGATGTTATTGAATAAGTGATGCTTTTGGACCAGGTGCGATCATTTGTTGCCCGAGAAAGTCAGGATTGTGATAAAGTGACATTTGAAGGGGCAAAAAATGTGGGGCCTCAAGTGTTTTGGGTAAACACAAAACAAAAGTAAAAGTGCAAAAAAACCGGTTGCGCTCGCTCGAGGCCAGGCGGTTAAACAAGATTTGCAGCTACCGGAACTGATCCGGTGTGATAACTTCTTCTGAAGTGGACTTGGTCAAACTGTGAACGCATCGGGACCGGTGACAGCCTCGAGCCCAAAACAATAGAGACGCAAAAGAAATGGTAAGACATTATAAAAAAAAATGCCTTTGCGTTATAATAAGGACACGCAGAGAACAGGGGAAATGCATTATTATAGGATAAGGATGAACTAGTGTGACCTTATTTTAATATCTGCGGGTACAGGAACGCATTTCGCGTAGACCGTCTATGTTTAGACCACATTTCAACGTGATTTTTTAATACGGTAATATTTCGTCCTCTCTTGTATGCTATATCATTGTGATGTTTAAAAAGAAACTACGTCCACATTTGTAAGTTTCCCACTGATATTATAAATCACGTTGAAAACGGGTCTATACGCGAACGTCTTTTCAACGTCTACGAATAGACGTTGAAACAACTTTCACTATTAAACCATTTTGCAACGTGTTTTCAACGTCGGGCCATAGACGTCTTTTAAACGTTGTTTCAACGTTGAAATGCTCGCTGGTTGAAATGTGGTCTAAACGTAAACGTCTTTTCAACGTCTATGAATAGACGTTTCAACGTCTATGAATAGACGTTGAAACAACTTTCACTTTTGAACCAATTTGCAACCTCTTTTCAACGTCGGGCCATAGACGTCTTTTAAACGTTCTTTCAACGGATAAATTGCTCGCTGGAAACGTACAAGTTACATACTTAGTCACAGTTGTCATGTTAACATCCCTTTACAAGGACAAACACATTATTTTATTGATTTGTATTTATTATAAATATAACACTATACATATAACAGCACTTTTGCTAATTAAAAACAATACAGAAATAAAATATATTTTTCAGGAAAATAAATTATGGAATTAAAAGTGCAGAAACAACATTTCTGTGTTCAACAATTCTGTGTTTGTAGACCATTTTTCTGAATCATTGGAACTTCATTATAGATTCTGTAACAAGATGTGCCTCACTTGAGTTGGGATAGTATACCTGAAATCAGCTGCATCTCCCTCATCCTCACTTGAGGATTCTTTGTGTAAAGGGAGTCAGAGTGCACAAAGCAGATTCCTCTGGTCAACGTGTTTATTCAATTCAAATCATTTTATTTTGTTCAGCTTTGCAATCTGTAAACATGCAACACCCTGTCCCCTAAACCCCAAAATGTAAAAAACCTTCAACCTGGAGAAACCTGAGGGGAAAACAGTAGGGAAGAAGGTGTGAACAACTTAAAAGATGTACAGTACATCCGATTCCTACAACATAAATGATTCTAATATTGTGGATTATTAAGCCAGGGGTAAGGCAGGACCAGTGCAGGGACAACCATCATCAGACGTGACCTCCATCAGATGCAACCACCACCCGCAGAAACCTGTGAGGAGGTAAAGCACAAAGGCAAAGTTGGTCATTTGGGTTTATGATGACAGTAATAAACTAATAATAATAACAGCAGCAGGTGCGTTAGAACACTCATTTATAGATGGTTTAATTATTACATTATAAACAAGATAACAATTCATCTGCAACTTATGGTATTTCTGGAGTAACATGTCCAGGTATATTACACAGTATCATGCTTTAAGCAGCAGTAACTTACAATGTTTCGGCCTCTTGTTTACAGAGCACAACTTGTTGAATTCAGCCCTTCACCCTTGCAATCTGTATTTAGCCCCCATTGCTTTAAAAACGTATTTTCAATGTGAAATGCAATAATATGTATGGGTACAGCAACAATCTAACGCATTAGTAACACCAAACACGCACAAAAATGTCTGGAATGTTTACTTTTGGTCCAGGTCATCATGCTGCACGCTAGCATGCTCCAAGCTAGCATGCTAACTAGCAAACTACCTGCGCTAACGCTAACTAGCTTAACAAAAAGGGCCGTCTTTCCTGTATCGAGTCGGCAGCACAAGTAAAACACCCGGTTATAGTTCCAGGTGTGCTTCATTCAAACACTCGCGTACTTACAGAGTAGTGGAGCCGGTAGTCGTGGTTCTATCAGCCCGTTCATGTCGCTCTGCTGCCGTAACTTCGCTTCGTGCTGCGTCCGCTCGGAGCTCTGCAGGCGTCTAAGAACTCGCGCATGCGCGTTACAGATGTGAGCGGAGTTGTTTACGTGTTTACAAGTAATGTTTGAACCTGTCCGCATTATTATGTCTTAAACGCATCTTATTAACAGCACGCAGTCCGTAGTTTCATATTTATGACGTTTTAAGTGAAATATTAAATACGTTGAAATTACGTCTTCGCGTAGACCAAATTTCGCCGACCAGTTCATTAATTATTATGAAAATCTTAACGTTAATATCGTCTATCTTTCAACCTTACGTTACATCATGACACATTTGTCAACAAATTTATGTTTTCTGGCACGTTGAAGTTTTATCCCATTTTTAGCCGGTTGAAAAGACGTTGAAATGAG